ACTGAAGTGGTTTAAAATACTGCTAAAAGTCACGGTTATATATTTTTTAAAGTAATTTTAATGTGCTGACCTATTTATTGCACTGTAAAAAATATAAAACAAAACATATAATTAATACACTTAGGGCTAGGCAGATGTGAAAGTGATAGCATAAACCATGCTAAAACAAGCATCTTATTGAAACTCTGTTCTTTGTTATCCTTTTGGGAAAGAAAGAACATTGTAATATTTTCAGCAGCTGGATGTGAATTGTATAAGTCAAGTTGTGATGAATTCTGCTCTTTGTGTTGTAGTAGATGCTCACTGGGAATGGTTTTCTTTTGTGATGTCTAAAGAAAGTTATATTTAAAATTCCACATCATATTCTGCTCCATATTAATGTACCCCAGAATTTTTCATGTCATGTATTTTGCTCGAGGTTCTGTTCTGAATTGATTTTTGATAAATTCAGACTAGTGCATCTATGACTACTACTGCAGAGGTACCATATCTTTAAATATTTATATTATGCTGCTGGAGATAATTATTATTCCAGTGCTGTAGAGTTCTAATACATTTAAAATGTCAGAGTTGCTCAGTTTAATTCGCCATGCATATATTCAAGGTGTCTGTACACAGAAATTCTGTATGCATCTCCAAGGACCAAAAAAAAAAAAAATAGCTATTCATATTTTATTAGCTGTCGGGAAGAAAGGACAGATTTCTTCTATATTCTTAACTGTAAACATTAATTAGATCCTTGACACTCGTTAATGATTTCATTTAAAAGGCCCTCCTTTTGTGAAGGAAAAAAAAAGCAATCTGCCGTAATTATTTCATCACTATGCCAACCGGGAAAGCTATCAATTCATCAGCATTTTGTTGTTTCTCACAAGAAGCTGTGAAGCATAACGAGCCGAGGAAGAAATCAATTTATTTCTTGTTTCCAGATTTTAAAAATATCTTTTGTGTTGTACTGTGTAAATATGAAATATATGATTGCAGTGTTTAAATCTTCATTTAAATGTGTTTATTCAATAGAATTGCAATGGGTAATGGGTGAAACCAACTTCAATTTCACTAGCAATATTATTCTGGATCTACTATTATTTGTGTTCTGTGAAAGAAAAAAATTGATTACTGGGTTTCTTGACTTTGATTCTACTTTAAATATTTTGGTCCATGTGACTGCATATATAATTTGTGTATGTGTACATGAGTGTGTATGAGGGCCTGAATATAATGTGTATATGTGAGCATGTGCATAATAATGCAGATAATGGTTCAGCGAATTTCCATGCATTGGTGGATCAATAAGGGACGCTACGTATAGGATGCAATCTGATTGGGAGGGTTGGTAAGGTATACAAAGCCATGTAAGTGGGTGGGTTGGTGAGTGTATGTCAACAAGGATATGGATTATGGATAATATATGCCAGGGTAGGTGGCTGTGGCTATGGCTAGGCATGTGACTGGATAAGTGGCTTGTTTGGTAAACATATATCATTCAGTAGGTGGGATCAATGTGAATAGGTGAATGGATGTATGTGATTGTATGTATGTGCTCATTCTTGGGGACTTTAATATACCAATCAACAACCCTAACTACCCTGATGCCTCTCATCTGCTCTCTATAACCTCCTCTGTTGAACTCACACAGCGGTCTAATTCATCAACTCATAGAGCAGGAAACACTCAACTAGAGTTGAGCGAACCCGAACTCTAAAATTCGGGTTCGTACCGAACATTACGGTTTTTGGACCCTGGACCCGAACAAGGACATTTCAGTGTTTGTTCGGGTTGGAGTTCGGTGATTTAATGGCGCATTTTGAAAGGCTGCAGGGCAGCCAATCAACAAGTGTTTGACTTGTGTGTCCTTAGAAGCCATCACAGCCATGCCTAATAATGGCATGGCTGTGATTGGCCTGTGCAGCATGTGACCCAGCTAGTAGGGGCAGGTCTATTAAACAGTGAGCAGCCTGCGGCTGCTCACTGTTAAATAAAATAAATTTAAACCGCGCCCCCCCTCCCGAGCCCTCACTCGTGACATGTGAGTGAGGGCTTTTAATCTAAAGGGGGGACCTATTGCCCCCCCACCCCTGAGTGGCGGGTGGGGGCCATGAAGTAAAAAAAGGGTAGGGACCTATTGTCTTCCCCCCGGCCCCCACCCCCGAGCGGCGGGTAGGGGCCACAAAGTAAAATAATGGGGGGGACCTACTGTACTCCCCCTGTCCCAGACCCCTGAGCAGCGGGTGGGGGCCCTAAATACCAATAAGGGGGGGACCTAATGTCCTCCCCCCGGCCCCCACCCCTGAGCAGTGGGTGGGGGCCCTAAATAAAAATGGGGGGAACTAATGTCCTCCCCTTTGCGCCCACCCCTGAGCGGTGGGTGGGGGCCCTAAATAAAAATTGGGGAGGACCTGAGCGGTGGGTGGGGGCTCTAAGTTAGAATATTGCCCCCCTAGCCCCCACCCCTGAGTGGCGGGTGGGTGCCATAAAGTAAAAAAAGTGCGGGGACCTATTGTCCTCCCCTCAGGTCCCAGCCCCGAGCGGCAAGTGGGGGCCCTAAAGTAAAATAATGGAGGGGGACCTATTGTACTCCCCCTAGCCCCCACACCTGAGTGGCGGATGGGGGCCCTAAATACCAATAAGGGGGGACCTAATGTTCTCCCCCTGCCCCCACCCCTGAGCGGTGGGTGGGGGCCCTAAATAAAAATGGGGGGACCTAATGTCCTCCCCCTGGCCTCCACCCCGGAGCAGAGTGGGTGGGGGCACTAAATACAAATTAGGGGGGACCTAATGTCCTCCTCCCTGGCCCCCACCCCTGAGCGGTGGGTGGGGGCCCTAAAGAAAAATTGGGTGGGAGCTAATGTCCTCCCCCTGGTCCCCACCCCTGAGCAGTGGGTGGGGGCCCTAAATAAAAATTGGGAGGGACATAATGTCCTCCCTCCTGGCCCCACCCCTGAGCGGTGGGTGGGGACCCTAAATACAAATTGGGGGGGGACCTAATGTCCTCCTCCCTGGCCCCCACCCCTGAGCGGTGGGTGGGGGCCCTAAAGAAAAATTGGGTGGGACCTAATGTCCTCCCCCTGGTCCCCACCCCTGAGTGGTGGGTGGGGGCCCTAAATAAAAATTGGGAGGGACATAATGTCCTCCCCCCTGGCCCCCACCCCTTAACGGTGGGTGGAGGCCCTAAATTAGAATAAGGCAGGGGACCTAATGTCCTCCCCCGTGGCCCCCACCCCTGAGTGGTGGGTGGGAGCCCTAAATAAAAATTGGGGGGGACCTAATGTCCTCCCCCTTCTCCCCACCCCTTAGCAGTGGATGGGGTCCCTAAATAAACATGGGGGGACCTAATGTCCTCCCCCCTGGCCCCCACCCCTGAGCGGTGGGTGGGGGCCCTAAATAAAAATTGGGGGGAACCTGAGCGGTGGGTGGGGGCTCTAAGTTAGAATAAGGGGTGACCTAATGTCCTCCCCCCTGGCCCCCACCCCTGAGCAGTGGGTGGGGGCCCTAACTAAAACTGGGGGGCCTAATATCCTTCCCCCTGGCACCCATCCCTGAGTGGTGAGTGGGGGCCCAAAATACCAATAGGGGGGGACCTAATGTCCTCCCCCGTGGCCCCCACCCCTGAGTGGTGGGTGGGGGCCATAAAGATAATGAGGGGGGGACCTACTGTCCTCCCCCTGGCCTCCAGCTCTGCGCGGTGGGGGGTGACCTACTGTCCTCCCCCCCGGCTCCCACCCCTGGGTAGGTTCCCTCCCTCATTATCTTTATGGTCAGGGGGAGGACAGTAGGTCCCCCCCCTCATTGTTATGTAGGGCCCCCACCCACCGCACAGGGGTGGGGGCCGGGGGAGAGGACATTTAATAGACAAGAGTGAGCCCCGTCCTCTAAAAATCCTAACTAAACCATAATTAATTGTGACAGAAAATGCAATTAATACTGTTGACTATAAAATATAGTAAATTATTAATTGGTTGAGAACTGTCAGCGGACAGTTCAAGCTTGGTATGAGTTGATATAATGATACGGAAGCATGAACCCATTTTTTTTCCATACCAGCTCAGACTTGAATCAGCACAGGTGCTAGACAGAGGCAAACAAGTGATAAATAAGAGGACTTCTAGAAGCATAACCGCTACAAAGCACTGAAATGGCTATAGTACTTAGAGTACACATTATGAGAACAGATTGGTCAAAAAGGATAAAGAGGGAACTGTTTGGACTATCGTGTGCCTTTTTAAGGAATGTATCAAAGGAGTTCTGTTTCATTTTTTGGACAAGCGGAAACATACATTGAATAGCTAAATGACAGCAGATAAAGCTAGAATGCAGATAGTAAACAAGATGTTTCCAGAAACATGGAGAAGTAAAGTAGAAGTCAGAGTGGTTAAAAATGATAGGGAGGACTTTTGTCCTTTTTTGTCCCGGAGTCAAATGCCAGAGCTGAAAACGCTTGCGCTGTGCATCTGCACAGCAACAGCATTTCAACCAATCAGGTAATCAGGAGAGCCATGCTGAGTGCGGGAATCCTGATTGCCTCAGATTTTTTAAATGGCATCATTGATGGAGGACTCTATTTCTGTGTCTGCCACAGATTTAGTTGATGCCTCTCTTAAAGGCAGCCCTATCAATGTTAGAAAGCTCCATAAGAGAGCTTTCCTTGCCAGGGATTTATCCTCTTCATCTTCTTTTAAGCAAAAAGAATAAAGGAAAACTTCTCTGCTCCTCCTTCCCCTCATACTTGTTTGAGTAAGCGTAAAAGTAAGGGGACAGGACCCCAATAAAGGAATAGCGTGTTTCCCTCGTTTGAGCACCAGAAACACCTTCCAGAGAAAAAAGACAAATCTCGTTGGAGGTTAGATAGTCCCTCTCCTTCCTCTTCTAGAGCGTTAGCTCACTCTACCTCCCAAAGCCATTCCAGTTCCAGATACGGCTCTCCAGAAATAGACTGGGAATTCCAGGAAGTGGTACGTTCAGCAGCATCCACTGAGTGAGGGAAGCTAAGCAATGTTCAGATGGCCAGAGTAAGTCTCCTAGGAAAGTCTCTCTCATTAAAATTATTTCACTCCAGATGGGCTATGGAGCACGATTCTGAGGTTAGAGATTTCGCTAAACTAGCCTTCAGATCCTACTTGATTAAGGAGGATGACCTTCTCCTCAGGAACCACATTGGTATCCCGGACATTCAGGCTTTAATGGCTCTGTTATCTATCACAGGGAGCAGCGTATCCTCTGATCCCACAGACCAGACTTTTCGCAATATACAGTTCAAAACTGCTGATGCTCTGGGCCCACTATTACTGATGCTGGATAAGGCAGAAAAAGAAAGCAATGCTCAGAAACCTTCTGCTTCATCTCTGTTGGCGTCTAAGATGGTTCTTTTAAAAGCGTCTGGAAGGGCAGTGCTAATTATTGGCCAATCCTTTAATTACATATCAAACATCCGCAGATCCTATTGGCTCCATGCAGAATGTCTGACCGACCTAGCCTCCAAATCGCATGAGTTCCCAAATTTGGAGGATTCTTACCTATTCGGTCCCTCGTTCATTCAGGAGGTTAAAGGCCGTTACAAGGCAAAGAGATCCTTTTCAGAACTCAAGAAGTCCATCCCTGGCTACAAAAAGTCCTTTCAGACAGAGGGTCGCCCCTATAGGGCTGCAGGAGTGTCCCATGAAGTCTCTCACCAGGCCCAGTACCGCCACTACAGTGGAAGACACAAGCTCCCGGGGGGTGGCAGAGGCGGTTCAGCTTCCAAAAGAAAACCCATGCATTCAAGTAAGTGTGCCTCCTCATATGCCACTAAATTGGAAGGATATTTGCTCAGACAAATGTGTTCTAAAGATTTTTCAAAGGGGTTTACAACTCCCCCTTTTAAGGTTCCCAGTCCAGAAATTTGCACCCCACTGAGAGGTGAACCCAGTGCTAGATGCCTCCCTTTCCTTAACTTTAAGTCAAGGGAAGATAGAGTTGGCAGACATGTCTATTACAGGATGGGTCAGCCCATTGTTCTCAATCCCAAAATCAGACGGTTCCTGGAGACCGGTCCTAAACGTGAGGTCTCTGAATGCTTTCATCAAAAGGAAAAGGTGCAGGAGGGAGGGTTTATCAGATCTTCCAGGCTTAGTACAGAAAGCTTTTTTCTGCATAAGGTTAGACCTAAAAGATGCCTTCCATTCAGTCCCCATAGCCAAGAAACACAGGCGTTTTCTCAGGTTTCAGTGGAAAGGAAGTGTGGCAGTGGACCGTTATGGTATTTGGCCTATCCAACGCACCATACACATTCTCCAGAATTATGAAATCAGTGATAGCTCATGTCAGACTAAAAGGTTTCATGTGTCTGTACTATCTAGACGACATCCTGCTCATGCACCCAGGTGGGGAAGTCCTTGCTTGTCAAATGGATTACCTTACTTCCCTTTTACAAGATCTAGGATTTGTAGTTAATTTACAGAAATCAGTCCTAGTTCCCACTCAAAGCATCCTCTTTCTGGGTTTCGTACTGAACACCAGGACTATGTCTCTAGAAATCCCTCAAGACAAATGGGACAAATTACTCGTACATCTGACCTCATCCCTCAGGCACCAGAGTTGTACCTTGAGAGACCTATAAAGATTATCGGGAAATTAATAGCTTTAACACCAGCATACGACAATTCCCCCTTACTTTGCAGAAGAAGTCAGCTGTTTTTAGGGAATCGACTAAGACAGGGCGGCCATTGGGAATCAAAATTATTTCTCCCCAAGAAGGTCAGAGAAGAGTTGAAGTCCATTCTGGAGTTAGAAATTCCACTTCCTCGTCCCCTGTTAGAGCAGCCTGTGGCAGTCACTCTGACGTCAGATGCCTCAAGTCAGTTGGGGTGCTTTTTCAGCCCAGAACGCCATAAGAGGAATTTGGTCAGACCAACAGAGTCACCTCCATATAAACATCTTGGAGTTAAGAGCTATAAAATTAGCTCTCCAGGGCCTAGTTCCCCTAAACCAGTCACCGATGTCGGTAAAAATACAATCGGACAACAGGACAGTGGTGGCATATATAAACCACAGAGGGGGCACAAGGGGTCTTTGTTTAGAGGCTCTAGATCTTTGGTTTTGGGCTTTAGCAAGCAATGTTCAGGTTTTTTCGCAGAATATGTTCCGGGAGAGGCGAACGAGCTTCCAGACTCTCTCTCTCTCGCCAAAGTTTGTCCCTGGCAACAATTCAATTAAAGATTGCTCTATTCCAATGGATAGAAAGCAATTTTGGCTAGAGACAGGTAGATCTGTTTGCATCCCAAACATCTACACAAACTCCCAGGTTCGTCTCCCGGACCTGGACAAAGGGAGCTTGGAAAATGGATGCAATGTCTTTCCAATGGACAGATGTTCCAGCCCCTTATGCTTTCCCCCCTCCATATTTACTGATGAAAGTGCTGAAGAAGATCTGCAGGGACAGGGGACAGGGTACAGAGCTTAGTTCTCGTTTATCCAGTATGGACTTCCAGACTATGGTATCCCCTGATCCATCAGTTTGTCAAGGGAACCGAGATCCCATTGGGCATGACAGTGGACTGCTTTCAGGGAACCAGCGATCTTCTGCTCAAGCTCCCGCATTATGTGGATCGCAGCCCTGGTAGGCTGTTAACACATCCCCTTTTATCGGATCAGGTCTTGGATATTATTAACTCATCTTTAAGACATAGAACTAGGGTAAGATATAGAAAGATGATCAAAGAATTCAAAGAATGGGAGGTTTCTTTTCTGTCTAACATACAGGGACCTGATACCGTTCCATTGGCTTTAGATTTTCTGACCCTTAAGTTCCATTCTGGTTTATCTGTCAGTTCAGTCAAGACTTATGGATCTGCTTTAAACTTCCTGATCCCCAACCTTACTCAGGATCCCCTGTATTTGAGATTACTAAAAGGGTTATCCGTCTGCCGCCCATACACCCCACGCTACACATGTACTTGGCTTGTAGACATCTTATTACATTTCCTTAATTCTTTGGATAATGCTAAAATTGATTTAAGATGGACTGCTATTAAGTTGGCTTCTCTGCTGTCCTTGGCCCTGGCAGCTAGAAGAGCCGAGTTATCTCAAATCCATATTTCAGATCCTTAGTTGTCCAGGACCCCGGGAGGTTTCCATATTATACTAAAAGGCAGACAAAAAAAATCCAATTTTTCTCCTGGTCTGGTAGAATTGAAATTGGTTCAAGATCCTTCCGAACCAGGCTTATGTTTAGTCAGTTTGTTACAATCGTACCTTCAACTTTCTGCTGTATTTAGAAATGATGTCAGTCAATTATTCATTACATCAAGGAATCCCTTTTGTCCAACCAAGGTTAATACAATTAGAGGCTGGATACTTTCTGCCATGTCTTCAGCTGGTATTGATGTTTCCATGTTCAAAAGCCATTCAATTAGGGGAGCCTCGGCTACTAAAGCAGCAGGAAAGGGCCTTCCACTCTCTACTATCTTGAAAGCTTCTAGATGGTTGTCCAGTAAAACCTTTGTTAGATTTTACTGGAGGCCATCAGAAGTTGAACACCTTCAGTTTCTTAGGACCACCACCAGGTGTGCTATTCTACCCACTAGCTTTGCTAGGCGGTTATACCTCCCGGAGGACAAATCAGAGTTTGCAGGAATCTATAATCTGCAAACTTTCTTTGTCTTAGGGATGAGTATAACCACCTAGCAATAGCGTCCGTCCCACCCTCCTCTAAGTTAAGGGTTTTGCCTTCTGGTGGTAGTTTGTTTTTCTAAAACATAAGGTTATCTGGTGCATATTCAGCCTATTGATAACTGTTCTCTGTTTTGTTTTTTACAGACTATAGCCGTACTCCAAGACAAGACCAACAAACAAAGGATCCACCTAAGTATGAGGATTGGATGCTAGTAGTCTCGTCAGTATGATATTCTCATGGACTCCCTGCATAAAGAATCTGTTTGCTGGGACTTGTTACAACATTTATTTTCTCTTTATCGAACTTATTTTGTTGCAATTTATGATGAATGGTTCCAGTGTTCATTTGATACTTTCCTTTGCTATAAATTGTTGCTTTGTTTTCAGCTCAGCTGTATGTTTTATACAAAGTTTCAAGTCTATCTTATATGTCTTCATGACTTATTAAACATTTTTCTTGTTCCCCTGTACGATTGGCTACTTGAATTGTTTTATTTTGTGTTTAGATGTTTAATTATATTCCTATACACTTTGGGCAATATTTATCCTTAGTACTTCGTGGGATGTGCTAACCATCCGCAGTTTCCCAATTTTAAAAATCTGAGGCAATCAGGATTCCCACGCTCAGCATGGTTCTCCTGATTACCTGATTGGCTGTAATGCTGTTGCTGTGCAGATGCACAGCGCAAGCGTTTTCAGCTCTGGCATTTGACTCCGGGAGGCTTACGCATACCCACTAGCTTTGCTAGGTGGTTATGCTCATCCCTAAGACAAAAAAAGTTTGCAGATCATAGATTCCTGAAAACTCTGATTTTTAGAAGTTTAGATGTAACTGCCATTTAAAAGGCACTAGAATTTCTTCCAAAAGAGAGTGTGATTACATATTGTGGATAGATAAGGTAGAATGACTGGAAAAAAGGGGTAGCAAAAGTCAAAAGGGTGTGGTGGGGAGGGATCTCTATCTTCTGTATATATGTTATTTTCATTTATTTCCCCATGTATAATAGCCCAATTTTGGACCACTTTGTTACCTGTTTTCCTCAGTTCGACTCTTGCAACATGTCTAAACCTATATTGAGACATGATGATACTGTTTTGAAACCTATAAACTCTGCCATCTCTGTACTTTTTTCTCTTAACATTTGATTTGACCTTAAATAGTGTATTGCTTAACTCCTACATTACAAGAAGCTAGACACACTTTATTATATTTTAACAACCTTCGCATATCATGTGTCCTGACATGATTAAACACATTTAAAAATCACTCCATTAAAAGAATACTCCATCTTTTAAAAACAATACAATACAGTTTTCACAACATGTTCGGATACCAGATGCACACCAAAAAAGTAAAAAAAAAAAAAATAGTTACTTTTTCTTCAGTGATGAGTCCCCTCAAAATGATGCTCTGCTACACCCCTGGGAGAGCATCAGTGATGACAGTTTTCCCTTCCTATTCAGACAAAATTGGAGCATGTGTGGTAATTGCTGCAAATGCACTAATGAAGTGCAGTGATTGCCCAACAGAATACTTCACTTTGAGAAGCATAATGCTTCCCTATGGATGCTCTCCTTTCTTGTACCATCATTTAAGCAAAGTAAACCAGGAAGCCCTCCTGGCTGTCAGTTTGACTGCCAATGCTATGTTCCTATATTAATTCACAAAAAGTGACTATTTCTCCTGAAATTGTCCCTTTCATGAAAGGGTCAAAGGGCATATTGTAGTTAACTCTTACAGCTTGATAAAGGCCTCTGTGTAGGCCGAAACGTTGTACTTTCTTTTCCCCATAAACCTGCCTTTCTGCAGCAAACCTGAGTGCCTGGACCTAATTTATCGTAATTCTTAGAGCACATCAGCAAGCTGAAGTACATTTAGTAAATTATAATGTCCCTTTAAAAAAAATAACAAGATGTAAAGTCATTATCAGGGTGGGTAGAAGTTGTGCAGATGTCCAGGACACGACAGTAGACATCTGTTAAAATGATCTTAATTACAGCATTCTGCATTATAGCACTGACTGGAAAGATTGAGATTGTGCCCAGCCATATCTTCAAGTTGCTGAAGCTTCTAAACACCTAACGTGTTATTCACTAAAGTGAACATTTAAAGTGAATTCAAAGTGAATTTCAAGTTTAAGCTGGGAAAGAAAATCTCTAAACCAGCTGATTCCAGTTTGCCTATTTTGGCATTAAATTTGAAATTCACTTTCAAATTCTCAATTTAGCCAATAACAGTGCTAATGTAAGGATTATATTCAGTTTGTAATAAACTTTATGTATGATTTTGCATGCCACTCGTAAAGGCCAGTGAGATAGCTCAGTAGGCTAATGCATCATCAGTAAAATCTGTTCAACCCTTAGGTCACAGCTTCAAATCCTGGCAGGATTGACTCAACACTTCATCCTTTTGAGGTAGATAAAATAAGTACCCTTAAATTGGGTAATAGTAACAAGCCCTGGATTTTGGTGTAAGGTAACATCCCTAGGACCTACTTGAAAACCAGCATAATCTGAATGTACCATTCCTGGTTAAATACTTTGTTTTTGTTATATTGGTAAATCTAGTGTGTTTGTGTGTTTTAGCTATGCTTTCTCCTAACTTTTAAGTATTGTGTTAACATTAGTATAT